CTACTACTACTACGGCTGCTACTACTGCTACTGCTGCTGCTACTGCTGCTGCTACTACTACTACTACTACTACTACTACCATTACTACTACCTTTACTACCACTACCACCAGTACCACCATCACCAGACCACACCACCACCACCATCACGACAAGGACGACGACGACGACGAACTATTACAAATTACTCCTAGTACTAGGAGTAGTACTAGTACTAGTACTAGCATCACTACTACTACTACTACTACTACTACTCCTCCTCCTGCTGTTGCTGCTGCTGCTGCTGCTGCTGCTGCTGCTGCTGCTGCTGCTACTGTTGATGCCCAAAATCCTGCATGACTTACATCATCGCTCATATCTCATGTCGCATTGTCCACTTCCCCGCAACCCCTCAATTTCAATGTTGCATCTCCATGGGGTCATGCAGGATTTAGGGCATTCGCGCAAGGCCTGTTTGAGAGCAATATTAAAATTAGGGGTAGCAGGGGAATCGTGGCGATGCTGAAAGGCATGCAGGATTTAGGGCATCAACCGTACTGCTACTGCTACTGCTACTGCCACTGCCACTGCCACTGCCACTGCTACTACTACTGCTACTACTCCTACTGCTCCTACTCCTACTACTCCTACTACTCCTACTACTACTACTACTACTACTACTACTACTGCTGGCCACTGGCCACACCCCCCACTCCCCTTTGCAACCACCTATCGCTTAAACCTTTCGGCAAACAGAAACAGGGAACAGCCCGGAGGACATCTCACCGATTCAGCCTGAACACAAGGGGGGGCTGCGAAGCAGTTAACTGTAACCTTAGAATGCGAAAGGAATCATCATCATCATCATCATCATCATCATCAACGCAAGGAATCATCATCATCATCATCATCATCATCGAGTAGGCGCGTACACTTCTGCCATGGCTGATTCGAATACCCGGAGCGCAAGCCCACTAGCTTTTTTGAATATAATCTTCAACATTTTGGACATGCCTGCTACTGCTGCTGCTATTGCTCCCGCGACTAATACTGTCATGAGTCGGCGTAAGGCTACTGCGATGGTTTGCTTACATGAACGGCAGTTCTACTGAAACAGAGCCAAGGTGCCAAAGGTGGCGGTATTGCCGATGCCGACGGCAACCACCCTCTCACACGAGCGGTTTCAGATCTAGAATACGGACGATGGAGCGATGACAGATTCCGGTCGCTTGTCATGAAAGCCTACCTCCAGATCGAAAAATATGACACTCTGGATGCCGTGCTTTGGATCGCAGTAATTGTTGTTTCATGTTTTTATCGGAACAAGCACTGAACTGGACATGAGCAGGCCCGAAACAGCATTGGCGAGCTTAGTGACAGCATGAACAGTACAGACTGGACCCGACTGGAAAGGGAGCCTTGTCTAAGCTGGATGCCATGTCCTGAAACGCCAAAAGCCTTGGCCCGGAAGTGGGACGGAACCACAGCCCAAACTGTGTCATCGACCACCACTGCAATCGGACCCGGGATAATTGAATTGAATGCTTCTGTCGTAAAGAACGTCAGCGCTGCGGGTGCCGGAAAAGACTCTGGCGTCAAACCTGCAACGGGTACGCGATGCAGAGTTGAAGCTTCCAGTTCAGTGAAGGTTGAGCATCCAAGCATATGGGTAGTTCTCTAAATTAGGGTCCCGTTTTAGGAACCCTAAAAGGGACCCTAATTTAGATAACTCCCCATATCTAGCAGCAAGAGATGTTTACTTGCTGTAAGACCCTGCTGTTGGTATGGACCGACTGCAGCTGCTAAGGTATATAGTCAGTTTCAGTATGGCCTGACGAGGGTTCCACCAAACAACTTCCAGAACCAATGTCGATACCATGTGCACAATGTTGGATAAGATTCGGATGCGACTGTCGGGCAGATGTGTCGTTACGATTTGGCTGACAAAAAGATTTTGCTACGCTTTTGAGGTTGTGTTGCCATTTGGGGTTCAGGTTGGGGCCTGGGGCTTGCTCTCGAATGGCTTGTGTGTGGCCGAAAGGCGGGCGCAGGTGGTCTGAGAGAGTGCAGAACAAAACAAACCGTATCAATATCGTAGCTGAATCGTAGCTTCGCTGGCCCCTTGCTAGTTCGATACTATCTTGATGCGGCTCCTAAACGCTTTCGAGACGATTCTTCGTGGCAATCATAATCGCGTCAGACTCGTATCAAACTCGCAGCCGAATCGCATTGAAGTCGTATCCCGAATGCGGGACATCCTCATCGAGGTCGTATCCCGAACATGGGCGATCCTTTCCAGGCCACATCCAGGTCGCAACGAGATCGCATGCAATTCGACTTGCGATCGCAACTCGTATCACAGTTCAAGTCAACGCCATATCAGAAAATACAGCCTTCGACTGCTTTGAAAGTCCCGACGACAGAACATGCGAAAATCTGAAGTTGTTTTTTCGAATGTCACGGACAAACCACAAAAGGAACATTCAGGATATCAGCACAAGATCAGGCACCAGCAACTCTCATGTTGCCCCCCCTTCGCTTGCAGGCATGTTCGGGAAGAGTCATGGAGCCACCATCAGCTGCCCGTGTAGAGATGTGTGGAGGACAACGTCCAACAACGAATAGCGCGCTGTACTGTTCTGCGTTCACTTTTAACACTTCATATGTACAACACGGCTAAGCACTAAGCATAGAAGCACGTCTGCATCTTCCTTCCCAAACTGCCTTCCCATGCAACAGTCCCCTCTCCTCTCCATTTCAAGGCAGTGATGCCGACGCTGCTCGAGGAGATGACTCGAATGCCCCGGTCTCATAAATTAGGGCCTAGGGTTGGCCTCCGTGACAGAGGCGGCTTTGCTGGTCTGGCCGAAATGCTGTTGTTGTAAGGTCTTCCTCTATCTCATATGGGAGACAGCTGTATATGATCCTGGCAAAGTGGCGAGAGCTCTGCAAGCAGCGAGGCTCTCGCGTTGCATGATTCCCGGCCTTGACAGAACCGACGAGCTTGTAGAAGAAACGAGCATGTGTGGAATCACAAGATGCATGACCTCGGTCTTGCGAAAGGGATCTTGAACATCGAAGAGAGCGGGTGCCCCGGTCGTGAGCATCATCAGGCAGGCAGGCACGCAATACCTCTCTGGACGAAGGGCTTTCATAGAAGAACGTTCAACCGGCGCTAAGGAAAAGCTCCAGAACTTATGGAAGAGAAAGCATCCGGACTCAAGTTATGGCTTGCTTTCGCAGGTGCAGACGACTTGGTGTTTTCTGTTTCCTTTTCTGGTGTTTCTTTGCCGGCCCTCCTGAGGAATCAGGACACACTGATGGGCTCCAGTTACTGTCCCATGATAGCTTTCGTGCACTGAAGGCACCGGAGCCTCTCTGCTGGCGACAAGTGGCAAACGTTGGTGGCTTGACGGTCGTGGCGGCCGAGCTGATGTTTTGGAAGGGTACCGCTGACATCAAGGACGACGGTATGCAAAAGCTGCTACAGTAGGTGAGAAGGCATCCATCAACAGCACCGATGTTCTGCAGGACGTCCGAGGCCGAGCCAGCAGGGGATTTGCTGCTCAGTCCGACGGCTTCACGATTTCTGAGGAGTGCAGTGACCGGATTCATGGACGTGCGGAGCAATGCTCACTTTCTGCAGGAGCTGAGATCCTGTGGCAAGCGGGACCATGAGCCACCTGCTGCAACTTCGGACAATGTCGTCAGAGTCCTCTGAGTGTTCCGTACTTGTGTGAGGCTCGTGGGGGCGACTCTCAAGTCTTTGGTGCAAGACCTTTCGGAGCTTTTGGACGACAACTCGGGCCCGATTCGACTCCTCATGCCACAGGTCTGCCGGCGTCTGCGAGAGAGCTCAATCGACCTGTTGAGCCAGTGGAGCCCCACATCAGGACACCGCAAAGGCTGTTTCGCAGAAGCACGTCGAGGACTGATTCTGCTGACTGTCCCTCAGCACTGTTCAACTACCACCACCGATTCTCATGAAATTGAATACTCGACGCGGCCATCTGAACGACCGGGGAATGCAGTGTTCGAAAACCATCGTTGACTGTGCGATAAGCACCCAAGTAAGATCAAGCAAGCTGTTCAATGCAGCCCCGCCAATAACAAACACCTAGGGAACCATTCAATAACATCCCGCCTCGCCGGTAAATGCTTTGTGAAGAGTAGCTGTTTGGAGGCAGCCTGAGGCACCTCCTAATTGTGCAGACCGCGCCACGGCAGGACTTGCTCATTAGCCTTGCAGGGCGGCTAGAGGCCTCTTGGGAAGAAGCACAACGCGGAGATGTGCAGTGAACTGTGGGATCAGAAATTGAACTGCTCTTCCAGAAACACCTTGCAGGTGCAGGCGTACTCAGGCTCTCCGACCTGGGACCAGTTGGTGTCTGAAAGCCATGCGATGGTCAGACTCCTACATGTTGTTCAAGTGTACATGTGAGTGTGTCACGTGCGCCTTCGTTTCCTTGACAAGTGGGAGGTCTTGCTGTACCACAACGCGATAGTGCCTGCGAGCTCAGAATGCTGGACTTTGCCTGGGGAGGCCACTTGCGGACGGAGGCCTCCTGCCATTGGGGGTGTGCTTCTTGAGGCGGCTGTTGAAAACAGACTCAGACATGCGAGCGTCGCACTAATCAGCTCTTTACATGTACTTCCGGTGGTGCACCTCAGACATGACAAATGTATGCCGCTCAATTGAATGTGTCATCCTCCCTACCTAGTAGTCAGCGATCTCGAAGCTGTATGCAACGCCTTGCGAATCAGCAGCAGTCACCTTTGGTCTGAACCCCTTAGCCTCCCAACCTTCACAGTGTTCCAAGGTCACGCCGCTCAGTCATGAACCAGCGCCAACGGACATGAAAGCTTTGAAGACACCGGATACAACCATCAGACAGCCAAGGGTTAGGTTCGCTCGCAGCAAGTCATGCTTCCGAGCATCAGCACATGACACAAGCTTCAATAATGACGAAGCTGCAGTATCTCGAACGAGGCAGAGGAGATCTTTGACAGTCATTTCCGGACGATTGGACATTGAACTCGAACTACAGACGAAGAGCTGCGAACACTGTAGAGGGAGGGAAAGGGCAAGAGTCGAGAAGAAGACCTTGATACCGACGATGCTGTGCTACCTGTATGCGAGCTGCATATGTTGAGATCGCAGCATCTGTTGAACCCCCGAAGGGCGATCAATGCAGCGCCGGTGCTGATGCTTTCAATCCTCCAACATGGTGCTCCTTGGAACAAAGTTGGTTTCCTTCGCTAAGCGCCAGTCACGGCGGGAAGGTTCAACAACCAGGCCTCCCCTCAAGACATCCGCAATGGCTAGGCTGAATCTGCAGTAGCTCGATTTCCAAGCGCTCGGGCTTCGGAAAGGCGCAGTCTCAGGAAGGTTAAGGTTTTGGGGCAAAGTGGGTGGTCTTTTGGTGACCTCGTGTGCGATTGCTAGCCGCATTTTGCTTGCAATCCGAGGTTCGGATGAACATGCCAGGCTCCGATGTTGACGCTCGTGCTGTGTATTAGCAATCCCGACAAGTTCCATGAACAGGTACTTACAACAAGATGGCTCGCTGGCTACAACAAGCTTACAACACCGAAATGGACTCGGAGGACTTCTGCCCACTGTTCCTGCAGATCTAGCACACGGTCTTGTGCCTGTTACGTTCATCGTGTTGGGGTGGTAATCGTAGCAGCACGAGCAGCAGGAGGCAACAGGCAGCAGGCAGCAGTGCCGGCCTACACGGTATGGGCTTGTGTAGAGACAGGAGGAGCAGCAGCAGCAGTGGCAGTGGTGTAGTAGCCGTAGCACTGGCACTGGCAGTGACAGTGCTTGCGGCAGTCAGTCACAGGAGCAGTAGCAGCAGCAGTAGCCGTGGTAGCATCTTCGTTATCGTAGATGTTGTCGAGCACGACGAGGCCAGGCAGGGATCGGAGGAGGAGGAGACACAGCAGCAGGAGTTTCTACTTTCCTTGTCGAGATGGGCATCAGCACTAAGAAACGAAATCAGTACCGCCACCGAAACTGCTCATGTCCTTTCCCACACATCAAGTTGAGACACCAAAGCATGCTTGCAACATAGTGCTGCTAATGTGGCAGGAGGAGGAGCCCCAAGATTTCTTCTCGCAGCTGTCACAGGCTTTTGTCTCCTCGCGCTTAGGCTGCAAAGGATAAGTGCCGAGTCTTCTCGATGTCTACAGTCAGCATACCTGAGGCTTGGCGAAGATGCTCCAAATCTTTTTGACTTGAGGTGTGGTCTTACAGTGACACGCAAGCCACGGAACAACGTCATCACGACGCTGCAGGGCTGTGGCACGTGGATTGCCCTGTGTTTCAGGTCAAAGACTTCGGCTGCCACACGCTTCCTCCGCACGAAGCTTTACTTGGTCATTCGCAAGGCCCTACCAGAAGCATGTGGTGCTACCTCTTGTGCCTATTGCCGGATGAAAGGTTTCGGTTTCAGGCAGGCAGGCAGACAGACAGACAGACGGTACGCACTCGCGCACACACGGGCGTACCGACAATACTGTGGACTCATGTATGCACAAGCTAAAGTTTGAATGACCCTGTATGGCAATGCTGGAGGCGTATGGCAATACGTGGACGAAGCTTACGACTCCAAGGCCACGCTGGCTCCGACTGAGTTTGCGCGGCACTCGAACAATGACGCAGGTTGCAGCAGCTCAAAGCCGGCGAGAAAGAAGCCAAGCTGCTGCTCCGAAGGCGTGTGTACGGGACTTGCGTTAGCCTGCCCGCCTCTGTCCCTGCACCTTGTTCAACCCGGAGCTCAGAATTGATTCCCGGCTCCGGGCACTGTTTCACGGACCGTTTGAGCAAGAGGCAGAAGGAGCATCAACAAGCCGTGTCCCGGCTACCTGCCTGTGAAAGAGCCTTGTGAAGACCTTCGTCTTGCTGGGATTGCAACTGGGGCGTCCGCCGAGGGTCTTCAGCAGTTTTGGGGCCGCTTGTTGCTGAGGCTCCGCTGGATCACCACCAGAAAAAAGCGCAGTATCACCTTGAAAAGCCTACCCCCTGCCTGCACTGTTCAAGATCTTCGGGGGATGGATGCCAAATGCTTGAGACAGCAGGGACAAACCACAGAACAAAACGAAACCTACACGACGCATGATGCCGAGGCGTTCGAAAAACTTCTAATGCAGTCGCAATGCGAGCTCCGACGAGCCTCGAAGATAGCAGTCAGCGAACTACCCGTAGACGTGGTCGTTTCCTTGTTCATCCTCACGTCTCGCAAACCAGATTTGATGAGTATTCCACAACGCTTGCGTTGCTTTGTCACTCTTTGGTGAGGCAGCGGGAGAGGGATGCTGCCGCCGCAGTTATGGAAGCTGACCTCTCACAGGCGGTGTGCAAGGGCCTGGAAATCGACTCACGGCTGCTACATGTTGTTTGTGAGGCTGTTCAGAACCTCAACCTCGAGCGCTTTGAGGAGAAGAGCCGTTTCGCACAGCAGGAGCAGATGCTGCCGGAAGCAAAATTGCACGAGCCCAAGATAGCCCAAGTATACTTGCAAGTAGTCTTAGCATTCTTGGTGGCAGCAACTACTTCGTCGCCATGGTTGTGACTCCCCGTGTGTCTAAGAGCATTATCAGATTGGTAGCCAGTGGCCAGTGGCTTCCCAGATTCATCAAAAAGCCAAATCAGGCAGTCACTTCGGGAACAGATGTCGCTTGCCATTGTTGCTGCGCAGGCCGAGCAGGGCTGACTGTGTCGCATGCGCTGTTTGTCTTACACCTGAGGCTGGCTGAGTATTGTGTCCATGCTACAGGCTCCAATCAAGCGGCTGACCGACACGTGCTGCAGCAGCATCGATGGAGCATTAAATCCCCAGGCTGAGATGCAAGTTGCTAGCCCGCTTCACTGATTTTCGACAAAGCTGTCCGGACACGACGCGTCCAACTAGCCAGCGCGACTCGTTGCAGGTGCTGCAAGCATTGCAAGCCGAGCTCGCAAGCACTCGGCTCACAACGTCCAATGTATGGTTGCAGGCAAGTCTCGCTTTCTTGCAGTTGATACCGTAGCAACCAGACGTCTCCTGGGCAGGCAGGGCTGGAGTTGAAGCTCGCCTTGGAGGTGATGGCCGGCAAAAAGTCTCCAAGAGAGAAAGAATATCAGAAGGTCCTGTCCTTTTTTGTAAAGCCCGACCACCCTTCTGCTGTCCTCTTAGAGAGATCAGAATGGTTCGGAATAGCGATTATAGAGACAACCGCGTTTTGCGGCGTAGACATCGAGCTGTGCAGGCTCTGCAGCAGCTGCAAATTCACACGAACGAGTTTCTCAGTGGGCACGGCTCCACAGCGTGGGGAGCTCATTCCAAAGCTAGAGAACAAGAGCCTGCAGTGGCAGCATGACACTGCGGAAGTGCATAAGGCATTGAGACCTGTCCGTCGGGTAATCGGCAAGTTGAGGGAGAGCAGAGAGACTCTAGATGGCAAGCCCCATAGAGACAAAGCTTGATAATGTGCGAGTGTGCTGAGCATTGAGAAGCCCAGGTCTATGCCCAGTCAGATGCCTGGCGAAGGTCCCCAGCTGACTCTGCATTCGTGAAGTAAGCCTCTTAAGGATGCAAAAACAAATTCTCCCACACCGACGGTTTTGTCAGTTTTGAGAGGCACTGGCCGAAGCTCCAGAGCGGTCGCCACGCTTGCAAAGGACAAACCTTTCAGGGATACTGCTTCGTTGGCTTCGGGGTGTCGCGGAAACGCTTCGGGTACGAGCAGCGGCGTGGACCCCCATACCAGAGTTGTGTCGTCTGTGCGCGCAGGAATCTTCTGTAAGGTGGAGAAAGGCATCGATTTGCATCGTTTGTGAGCACCTCGTGCTGCAAGGACGTTGCCGAAGCGAAGGGGTGCTTGGGTCGCTTTGAGCGGCGCCTGAGTGCCACTGGCAGAGAAGTTGGAGTCCCAGTGCGTGAAGATGCCTGTTCAGAGGATTTTGTGAAGACTGCATCTGCCCTGAGAATAGGATTCCATCGCTGTTGTGATTCGGTGCATTTTACGTGATATTGTGGGTTCCATGACCGTGGAATTCATCCGCATTCCGAGAGTGCTCCACAGCTCGGGGCACCACGAGGTTTCACCCGAGGGCATCCAGCCAGCGACCTGATCAGCGGAGAGTCAGCGGAGGGACAGGAATAGCGGAAGTGCCGCCACTGTACCGCCGCATTGGGAGTAGGTCCGAATCGTTTTGTAGGCTGGCTTGGCGTTCTGAGGCCTTTGAGGCGGTTTGTGTCCGAGTGCGATGCCAGACTCGTCGACGCGAGACATGACGACGAGCTATTCCAGGTGGGGCACGGACTCCAGTCCTTGACGGCCCTGAAGCCAAGCATAAGATGTGCAGATTCTTCAAGCACCGCCGTGGGGCCGCAAGACGTGGCGTGCTGAGTCTTCTCGGGCCTCAACAGCTGGCAGGTTCTCATGCGAGCAGAGTCAGCTGCAGAAGCAAATCAGTCCCCTGGTTCTCGGCACTTGAGTCGTCAATGGTCAGGCGGCTCTTCGCCGGTATCACAGAAGCGGCGTGGCAAAAGCTCCAGGTGAGCGCGCCTGCTTCAAAGCTGGCTCACCACAGATCTTTAGGATTGCGTTTGACCTTGCGTGTTCAGGTGGATGGCACCACCCACATCCGACCCTAGGTATTTCTAGGTATCCGACCCCAAAGGCTGAAGTACACATCCTGAACGCAAATCCGGCCAACCTATCTAGGTGGCACAATTCAAAACACTTGCGGGGCTCCTTGTATTATAAGATTTTGGTTTTGGGTTGGAGGTTTAGGTTGTAATTCGCAGATGAGCATAAGTGAGAACTGCTAATGATGTGTTTACATACACACCGGGTGACTAGGGAAAGTCAACTCGGATGTTGGTGAAGTCTGCAAGACGTTATATCTTCATCGTTTCTCACTTCCTACGACAACCTGTTCCTTATATGTGGAACGTTTCACCACAACTTTTCAACTAAATATCCAGGGTTGTAAGTCCAGTCTCGAACTCTAGCCTTGATTTGTTGCTTTGACGCTACATCCTGTTGCACACGTGGGCTTCTAGTATCTTCGAGGAAGGGCTCAAGAGGTACCAGCCAATCTTCGACAATCAAACGCAACATTCCGTTATTGCTTTCTGTTAACTTCATGATTGCTCCTCTTTCGGTTCCACGACCCCTCAAGAACCCTGGAGCTGAATTCTAACACTTTCACAGTTTTGAGCCCTAAGCAATTTTGGTTGAGATCTTGAGGTTTGGTACCTTGGGCGGTATGATGTGCTGTGTGGGCATTGCCATGCAAATCCATATCCAACTTCGTCCGAACCTACAACAATTTGAACACGCCACCAGGCTGCGGCAGATCAGGCCACCGACAGCGCACGGCAAAGGCGAGGTTGATCTGAGCTTTGGTGCCGACACACCAATCGCAGTAAAAGAACCCGGTTGTCTAGTTGGATGTCATCCACGTGCACAGCCATCTCGCACACTCGCGTTTTATCGGGGGGTTTCGTCATGCACTGGGTCGTGGGGCCGGTCTGGGTTGTCCAGGCTACAAGAGCAGCTGCAAGAGGCGCACTCTTTGTTGCAGCTGGCCGATCAACTGCGCGAGGCCATCAAAGGCGGGCCAGGTGACTTCTTCGAGTGGTTCAGGTGAAGACTTACACGCGTCCAAATTTGTGTTCCCATCAGAAACCCGTCGGCTCTCGCAGCAGCAAAGCTCTCACCGACCTGTCCAGCAACCTTGCCTTTCAGGATGAAGGGACATAGCTACTTTGACTTCTGTTCAACACTCTGCCTGAACGAGTACCCGAGCTTCCAAACCACTCCGGACTGCCGAGAACGCACATTCAACCGGAAGCCCACAGCCCGAACTCAAAAGCCGCTTGAAGACGGTTGTGCAAGAACCCCGGACCCTCACAAAGAGGCTATTGACAGCGAATTCCCGAACGTCATGTCACATGAAGCAAGTCAACACCCAAGATGCAGCGAAAGTTTGCAAATCATCCATGAACGCAACTTATTTTCGACATCTTGAGCTAATTAGGCTGTTTTGGCATGCCAGCAAATGCCGGCATCTGGCCTGGCCTGTAATATGGATCAGAAGCCAAACTTGGAGAAATGTCAGACAGATTCGAGAGCTGGAATCGATGATGAGCCATGGTTGGTAGCTTGGCGGAATTGTCATGATACGGCCTCTCCTCAGGGTTCGCAGCGCAAGCAACGCGGAACATCGTTGCGCAGCGGAACTTGCTAATTCCAAGCAGAGCAGCGCACTTGAAGTTTTTTGGCCTTCCGGCACCACGGCAAGTTCGTCCCATTCTCGAACCACGGCGAAGCCCCCAACGAGTGATGGAAGAAGCAGTGGATGGGTCGGAGAAACGAGCTAACCAGCGGTTTGTGCAGTGCAACACAACTCCGAGCAAGACTGCAAGACTGTCTTCGCAGGCGACAACGAAACCATGCTCGAGACTCTACTCCGAGCAGCTGAGAAACTTAGCCGTGAGCTTAGAAGCAAAGTGTGCAGAGCTGTGCGGAGTGCAGGAGAACTGATGGAATCGAACTGTGCTTTCGCAGACATCTCTGGCTTGGACACCGCAAAAAGCCGCTGCGAGCAGCTGAGAAGCATGAGGCGGGCGAAGCGCACCTACTTTGCAGCACTGATATAACCACTGCAGTTGAGGGTTCAGCTATTGGAGGGCATAGCTGCCAGTTGGCGAATTTTTTTCTATACGGGTTCTTTGTATTTCTGCATGGGAGCCATAAAGGACAACTTGCGATGCGACATTGGCAGAGGGCTTGCTGTTCCTTTGACCCAGAAGTTGATCCTCCTTACGAGTCACCCCACGATACTGTTTCCTTTCAAGAAAACTGTAATCACTCCTCCTTCTCTGACTCCTGTCCCACTACTGCCTGTTGGAGCAGCCGAGATTACGGTCGTCCCATCAGCCACCAACGCTTCGGAACCAATTATAAACTCCCGGCACGACCTATACTGAGCAGCCAGCGATCCTGTGGGGCTTCGGAATGAACCCGGCTTTGCAGTGATATTCGTAGCGAGACATGTGCCAACGCATCGCATAGAAAGCTCTTCTCGAATTTTGGTTTTCATACGTCCTCATGCCACATTGCAATGGGGCGTCTCAGACACCGTGAGTCGAGCGAGCAATTATGCCAGATTCGCATCTCCACCCTTCGGGTACCTACCAAGCTCCGCAACAAGATCTAGGCAACGTGTGTCCGATGACCAACCAAGAATTCGCTCTGCAAGCCTCACATACACATGTGCTTTTCTGGTAAGCTTCTTGAAGTTAGCATGACCAAAGCTTCACGACAATGTTCGAGGTCTACTGTCTCAAGTTACCACCATGCCATCATATCTCGAAAAGCCAGAGGTTCAGCTTAACTTGTCGGTGTTTCCTTAGCTTGGAGACATTCCAAATGCTTCGCGTTGTCGATGGGCAACTAGGAAGACAGGATTGGCCCGGAGGGGTGTTCATCATGTCAAGGGGGGCGGAAGGCGGGGGGGACATTTCTGTCGGACTCCCTGCCTTGGATTCACGTGATGTCTGGGAGGCTAACTCAGTCGCATTCGCACAGAGCTGGACTCGACCTGCTACAAATGCGTTATGATTGTTTACGCGTGAGCCAGCACTATCGAGCGGACAATTGTGCTTCACTTTTACAACTAGAGAGTTTCGATTCAAGTGCATGTCCCGAATTACCGCCTCTACCGCACCTGCACTTCAATCTTGCGCCCAACTTTAAAGTGAAGATGCTGAGTAATAGACTACTGTATCTTGCAGCAAAGCAGAAGCGCAGAGTCTGTAGCTGAGCTGCTTACCCGAGTCTGATTCGTCTTGGGACCCGTGCTTGCAACTTGCCGCACAGGTCTGACCTCCAGAGAAGCCTTACAGCTGCGGAGCACCCCTCAGAACGGCTCACTAATCGAGCGTTGCAACCCTCAGCTTGTTCTACTTTGCATGGCAGAGGTAGCAGAACTGGATGTCGCCACTTTTGAGACATTGGAAGCTCGTTGTGGGCAACTGCAGCACGCTCAGAGAGAAGTTTATGAATTCGAAGAAGCTACAAGAAGCTGAATTCCCCACTTAAAAGCGGTATTTGTATGCTTTGTTCACGAAGGCCTGCGGAAGAGGTCGAGCAGTTCAGGCAAGATCTCTACTTGTCGATCTCAGAGGACCCTGGCTGCGACTGCGCATTGCATCTGAGCCAGTGAGTCTGCTGTCTACCAAGACATCGCTGGTTGCATAGCACTGCTCGGAGACTCTTCGGGGTTTTTTCCCAGGGGTCAAAAGGGCATTTGCTTATGCTGCGGCCCCTCATTGCTTTTGTCCCTGACGAAAGCTCCGTCCATCCTTCCCAAACAGGTAGAGCCTTTTGCTTCCTTGAACCTCCGAAGCTGTGCTCTTTGTCTGTTCGATTTGACGTCAGGGAGGCCTGCCGCTTCAGGTGAGGTAGGGCCCTCGCCAGAACATCTAGAGTCTAGAGGTCCTTGCACTGTCGCTGCCAGAGATAGCTAGCAAGAATCGTCCGGAATGTTGGAGATGTTGGGAAGAGACGTGCAGCAGTTGGGTCTGGCTCTTTGTGTTTGGACATCTGTAGGAAACGAGAGGAAGATGATTCAAGTTTCTCTCAACTGAGTTAAAACTGCGAGGAGGAACAACAACTTCAAGAAGAGCTGGAGTCTCAGAGAGTTTTTCTACGGTTCTTGTCGACTCATCACGGACGCACCCAGGATAAACTCCAGCGACGCGTCGGAGGAGAGTTTGGGAGCAGCTTTGACAGAGTGCAGGCGCTGAGCTGCGCAAGGTTGAGACAGCAAACTCCACTTCTGATGGCGCGTCTCTATGATCCAGTATCGCAGGCTGCCCTCGCAGAATTCATGGCGACGACTTGCCGAAAGCTCCCTCACAGCTCTGCAAGCTATCAATCGGATCCGCTTGCAACTCAGCATCTTGCCAGATGACAAAGGCCGAGCAACGACACCCCATGCAAGGAGACATACTGGTAAGAACCGGGGTCCAAAGTCTCCCGAAGCGAGCAATAATGTCCATAGAACAGTGCAGAATGTCTATGGGATGCTGCTGAAGACATCACAGACAAGAGGTGCAAATGTACACGGTTGGGTGAAGACTGGGGCTTCCGGAGGGAGATGATTTACGGTTTTACTCAGACATGACATGGAGTTCTTGTGTACACAGCGAGATTGTGATGGATGGCATGGACCCTGACCTAGGCAGTACATTGGCCTGCGTGCCAGTCGATGAGATGGGGCTTCAGGCGTGTGTCTTCCTTGAAGATTTGCAGCTCGCGCTCTTTCTTCGACCTGAAGAGGCACGTCTGAGCTCTGGCAGTTTTGCGGCCAAAGAGTTGCAAAAGTTGTCAGCCGAGGCGAGCTGTCCCATTGAGTTGTGATGAGGAGTTCTTCATGTCATCTCGCAAGCCAACTTGGCAGGCTCAGAACCTAAGCAAAGGTGGGAAGCTGGTTGAGCTGCCGCTTGCACGTAGATCCGGGACCTTTCAAACTGCAAGTAGAACAGCTCAGCAGCATAAGCACAATTCACATGCGATGCTGTCATGCCATGCACGTGGCGCAGCTTGCCAGGTGTGCAAATCAATGCAACTTTGTTCTCGACCCTGCAGACGGCCTTGGATGAAGGCTATGTAGGCCCACCATGGGTCACTGCTGCACCTGCAACACATACGTTTCAGCATTGCACATGCATTTGCTCGTGCTGCAGTATGTAGCCGAAGGGTTGGCCCAGGTTGGCGTGTTGTTCTTGAGATGCTCGCACTGCGAGTCAGCACTTGAAGCAAGAGTTTCAACACAGACCTGTTGTCCCAAATGGCTCTTGCAGGGCTTGCCGGAGCACAAGCAGATCAAGCTTTGGAAACTCTCCTGAGCTCCGAGATGTGGAAGGATCGGGATTGGAAGGCTCCTCCAGTCATGTGTTGTTTGTCGTGCCATTTTGGCAGCTCGCCATGACGTTGATCCGATACCTTTGGCACGACATGCCGTTGATTTGCACCGTTTTCTGCTGCAGTCCATCCAGCCCAGTGATCTGCGCGAGCCAGCAGCCCAAAGTTACCAAGCCCTGCATCCGTTGACCAAGTCTACGAGTCATAGATTCGAGGTTAGAAATCCGGGCGGAAGAGGCAACCAAAGCAGGCGCTTTGCTGCGAAAGAGAGGCATCTTAGCCAGTGGCAAGAGCTACAAAGTTTCCAAACTAAGGCCGCGACCGCTTGGCTGAACCGCTGCAGACTGCATTGGAGGCCTCTGTGACAAAGGAAGCTGCAAAGAGGCCGCTGTCTAGCTTTCGGCAGGTGGGGCGGCGCTCTGTGGAGCTGGCTGCTGCAATGAGAGAGAAGGATGCGGAAAAGCTCGAAGCCTGCCTGGAGAAGGCGCCTGTTTTCTTCCGAAATCGCTTTCAGGTTCAAGTCAGCTTTCAGGTTTTCAGGGGCTGCTGGGTTCGAAAGCCTTGCCTGGAAATGAGAATGCCAATTCAATCGAGCCCATGGAATCCAGATCAGTTTCCCGAAAGTACACAAGAGAGGAGGGAAGGAACGGGGAGTTCGCAGACGAGCCGAGCTCGGCCGACGGAACAACCCAATTCTGCAGATGGTTTATATGCGCTTTCGAGTCAGAGCCTGACTCCAAAGTCAGAGTTCCGCAAACGAAGACGAGCCAGTTCTCAGAAATCCGTTCGACAAATGAAATTATGCTTGTCTCGAAACAGTTTTCGTTTGCAACTCTACCACACAAGGACGACTTGTTGGGCCCGCGGCTTCTAGCACGCAAGAGTCCTCAGCGTGAAACCTTTCATAAATCTGAATGTCTTGCGCCGAGCTGTAATTACAACTTCCTGAGAGATGTCCGTGGCCGCTCTCCACTATTCCTTGGCTGAGATGCTCGTTCAGGCACGGCGGTTGGGCTTTGACCGCCTGGAGGAAGTGCAACGGCGTCTTCAGAACATGCGATCCATGGAAGGCCAGGCCCCGGTCCGAGAAATCACTGGGGGCTCTTTTTAAAGTTCTGCTATGATAGGCAGGAGAGGCTTGCGACGTGCCGTCCGGGCCGCTGCCAGCTTCCAAATTTACAGGGATTTCAAGCTACTCCGCCTGATGTCGTGGGCTCAGGAACCCCCTGCACTGTTGCCGCCGTTCCCGGCAGAGCAGAATCCTCCATTTCAAGCAGAGAACGCGCGAAAGATGTGGCCCAGCCGTTGCCTAAGCTAGTCCTCAGCCAAGACATGCCAGGGGTTTTTATTGGTCGGGGATAGGCAAATGAGCTCCCGAACCCCAACCCAAACCATGAAAGAGTTTTGTCCCTGACCCCTTCAGGGTGTCGAACCTACTGATCCAAAATCCTTAAGCCAGACACTAGGAGAGGGAGATGACAAGAAAGGGGGCAATATTATACAATGGACCGATATGGACGACCATGTTGTGGGACAACAGTGAGATAGATCACCGGAAGGTCAACATGACACCCGAACAGGCAATGAAGCAAAATATCGAAGTGAAACAAAGCACGTCATGGGAGCAGACAACGCCCGATCATATCCTTTAAAGACAAGGTCAAGTCAAGATTTCAGGAACACATCTATCGACAAGAAGGAAACAATGTTGAACAATGCTGTAGTGTATTATATAGGTTGATACATCAACAAGTTGATCAGAAGTAACCTCAATCCTGTCTACCAGCTGAAGTTGCAGACCACGAGAGACGCGAACATACTGGTAACAACCAATAGAAGGATGGACAAGGTCACTTATCGGACTAGAGACAGGAAGATCAGCACCACAGCCAAAGCCTGGAGAAGAACAAAGGCAGGGTCGACATCCACCACCGACGAAGCCTTCACAAGATACAAGGAGCAGGTCAACAACTTACTGAAGCAACGGAAGCTCTCCAAACAGAGACTGGCATAGACACAGGAGAAGAACATGCAGTGAACATCGCACGTTCCAGGCGCGTGATGAGGGCAAGAATCGCCAGGGTCGGGTAAGTCGTACATATGCGAGAGGATGGTTGAGGGTCTTGCTTGCATGCCCCACCAGCAAGGAAAGAGTGTCAGAAGCTCAATTTCAAACAGGAGCTAGCCATGTGAAGCCGAACGAATGGATGAAGTGGTACTTCACATATACAAAAAATGAAGGGGACAAAATAGCATGTGAAGTACAGAGCGGGACACGGAAGACACAATACAGAGAGGCCGAGTATGAGATCGGGGAGGTGATAGTATGTCAGGAGCTAATGCCAATTTGGTATGTCATACAAAAACATAAGTCAGGGCGCTCTCGTTCTCATTTTGTTGCTATGGAGAGCCAAAGAAATTGGCGGCTGGGGGTAGGGCGGGGTTCGCTACCAAAACTGGGTTCATGGAGCAGCTAGTACTCGGGATTACGGAAGCTGCAGCAAACACCTGAAAAGATACCAGAGCAGCAAGTTGCAAAATCAGCCTTATGGGGGTTCTCGGGGCCGGAAATTCAAATTTGAGACCGGGTCGCTGTGGGAGTTTTTTGTTCGTTGGCCGTCCTTCGAGTTGTTTTTTTTGTGAGTCTTGGCTCTGGCGGTGTCTTGTTTTGTGTCTTGGGAGCATGTTATATCTTCAGAAAGCGCCTTCTCGGAGTGTCCCCAACAAACTGTATAAAGACAATTCGGATATCTTAAATATAAGATATACGGAACATTTGACAAAGTTAGCAAAGATGTTGCCCCATTTGTTAAGACAGTACTGCCCCCGTGACCATGAGACGGTGGCGTGGGCACGGGTCCAGGGAATTCCAGGAACTTGGGGCCAAAAGGGATTCGAGTTTAGAGCGACTGGAGCTGTTTCGGGTTCAAGGCTGCTTGGGGTTTTAGGATGTTTGAGGCTTATTTTAGGAGTATTGCTTGCAGTTTTGGGCCTTGGACGTTCAGGGTTTTGGGCCTGTTGGATCCAGGGTGTTCTCGGTTTTTTGATCGTAGGATCTTGTTTTTTCTCTGTAAGGTTCTATTTTTCGGTTCGGGCTTGTTTTCAGTTTGGGCCTTTGGCTGTTTTGGTTTGAGCCTTTGGTTTTAGCGCTGCCGGAGTTTTAAGTGTAAGGTTCTACCCTTTTTTTGGAGCTCCGTTCACAACACAACCCAACAGCAATGGAGGGAACATGTTCAGTGCAAGTTTCGAAAGTAAATAACTAAGTAACCAGTTTACACGGGAACGTGGAGAAAGCCAGGCCAACAAGCTCGTGTGCATGTTAACAGAAAAAGCTCGGACGTATTGCACATCAAAGTGCAGAAAGAGTTCCCGAAGGCGTCGCGACAAAGTGTAGAATCAACGGATTTCCCAAGAAAACCTCCGAAAAAGTTCAGAATTCAGGAAGAGTTGACAAATAGCTCTGCGAAAGCTGAGGAGCCTAAGAAAAGCCGTGAACAGTGTCCTAACAAGCACAACCTCCTACCGCTTCCTCCGAGCGTCCAGCTTTATTTCAGCTTCTTCGATTATCAATGCGGAAAAGAATCAAGAAAGAAACCGTATCAACCTAAACAATAAGTCATAAGCAAGCTGTCAGAAAATCGAAAAGGCTATCTACGGTTTCAAGAATTGGCATGGAAGTTCTAGAAAAACAGCTTTACACGGTAGCTTCTATCTTCTACATGATCTACTACTAGCACCCTGACTAGCACCCTGACATTACCAAACAGCTACGACGGATGCCAGAGTTGCTCGCTTCTGTCCACCAGCTTAGAAGAGTTATAAGGTTATCTCATGCTTGGAATGCCCACCCTCACATTGTCCGCCCACTGTTTTTTAAAGAACTGGTTCAAACGAAGTCCCAAGGTGAGGTTGGGTCACCTAGGACCTAGGACCTGGAAATTACGTGAACAATTTTCGGAGCTGCGGGCAACATCGTCGGCATCTGTCTCTGAGTTTCTTTGGGGTGGCCTTTCGGAGCGGGAACACAAAGAGCATTTTCTGTTTTTGACAAGGACGGCGCGCGCTCGGAGGGAACAAGCTCGAGAGAACCATGGGCTCAGGAATCAGACAAGTATCTCAGAACCACGCAGCGTCTTGGGTTGTGGCTCGGGAGCTAATTAAAAAGTACTGCCTCACCCCACATGCCTCGAGGGCCTGGTGAACTGCTGCCTGACATTGTGTTCTCAGGTCCGGCGGACAAAAGTGAGCCAAATGGGCAGGACAAGCCGGATCAAAAGGGTGCAGGCACAGTCATGCACAGTGGAGCTCCGCCTGCAAGATTTTTCGAAGCTCGCCAAGCATCGGATCGGCATTGGCCGTCAGGCGACCTTTCCTCACTCTCAGCCGATTCGGGGCTCCGACCCATCGAATTTGCAGGCTACAGTTCCGCATCAAGAGAAACCTGGTTGTTCTGGCAAGTCTTCACGCACCGACAAAGCAGCTCGCCGAAAAATGACCCTACACAGTACGTCTTCCTATGATATGCTCCCCATGCATTCTGTTCAATGCAGCCCTTCCAGAATTCGCCTTTGCCCATTCTCTTCTGGTCAGACTTCAAGATGGCTGTACTGGTGACCCCCAGCGATGACACTTGCAGAATACCTGAATTGGTGACCTAGTTAGATCATTTTGAAGCTCGATTATCTTGCATGGTCTTGTGGGAAATAACTTCGCTCCACGTCCCACTGAAAATCTTAGCTCCGTGCCTGGCAGGACCAGTTGATACGATACGAAGAGCATGATCAGCAGGCGGGACTGCTACTGATGCTGCGAACACGGGCTGTCGTAATCTTAACACAGGTTCGTTGCACGAACTTAATCTTCATCGATCTGGAAACCACCTCTGGCTTCTATGACTTCGAAGAGATGCCGCAGATTCTGGAGGCAAGAAAGTTGGGTGGATCATGCACATGTACCCTAAAGCTTCTTCAGGTGGCCATGATCATCACCGACAGACATCTTAACGAACTAGACCGCGGACACTGGGCTAGACACTGAGAGAGGGCAAGGCAACGGACGGTTACTTGTTGATCCCTTCCTAAGCCTTGACCCGTATCATCCCAGCGAATGTTGCGGCTGGAGTTGGGGTTCGGGGCTGGGCCTTCTCTTCAGGCTTTACTGGACAAAAGCCTTGCAAGGGCCGGAGCGAGACAGGTAACTGATCCGTGCAGGGGTAAAAGCCGATGTCTGAGCGTGATTTTGGGATGTTGAATATCGAGGGAAGGGATTGGAGAATGCTCTCGAGAAATCTTTGAGTTGCGCGCGGAATGCAAAAAAGCTGAGGTCGTTGGTGGGTTCAGCCGAAAGGACCTGGAAAGTCTTGGAGAGTTTCACAAGGTGGTGTGGCAATTTGAGCGCGAGGTCGTGGGTAGTCAACCGCCAATCGCTGCCACTTGCAGGCGAACTTTCGAGATTCTGAACCTGGAGGCAGCTTTCCACCTTTGATGGGCTACGGTGGCTGCGATCTCAGACCTGCAAGAGAGATCTGCTGGCCACAGCAAATTGCACAGAATGTGTGACTCCTCAAGCAAGACCCCACCCAGTGAATACCGTTATGTTTGATCGGTACAGTTACGTCAGTGACCGAAATTTGCGAAAGGCGACCAAAAAGGAATAGTCAATGCCTTCACTTCACTCACACAAACCGGATTGAACACCGCCATGTTTGCTTCCGGGCAGAACTGAGAGGGATTTCCACAGGCTAGGAGAGCGTGGGAGGTGTTGGCATCGGCAAACTTGGATGCCAAAGCCGGGGAGCGCAACACCTTGCCCAGCTTGCGCTGCTTCGGAAGGTGGCAATGGTCTCTTCTCCGACATACTAGCATCCGCGTCGGCTCCTGATGCTGAGAATGGAGGGGCAACATATCACAGTCTCATGTTCATGCAAGCTCGCAATGCTTGGCTCTTGAAGGCTGTCTATTGAGCAAGTTGAGAACCAGATCATGCAGATCGTGGTGCAGCCGCGCCTCTCGTTGCTTCAATGGTGGAGCGACCACAGCTGCATATATTTCGAGGCACTGCCCTCCTGGCGAGTGCCCATTGGCCGGGATCCAAGCAGTAAGGTCAGTGAGGCCAAGTATCCCCAGTGCAGCACCTTGCCATCAGGTTGGATACTCGGTTCAATGTGACCGAGAAGTGATCAAGGACAAGATGCCCAGGCAACCCGAGTCCACCGGGGAGTCCGTTTTCTTGCGTTGTAGAGGCGAAGCCTGGGTTGCAATTTCCGCTGGCCCGGGCCAGGCTGTACCGCCACCTGAGCCACCAAATCGTGGACGCCGGGTCCCAGTCTTTTTGCAGCTCTGGGCAAACTTGCATCCTGGGAAGGTTTCCAGTTTCTTCATCGTTTCTCGCCTCTGGCTGCCCGAGCACTGGCAATATTGGGTGCCGGTCTCGGGCATTTTTGACCTTTGTTAAGGAACGGATCTGTGCCTTGGGCCAAGGACCGGAAGTCCAGCACCTATAATCACAGAGCTGTGAACGACGTGGAAGATGCGATCGAAGCTCTAAGTGACTTGATTGCCTTGTGGATCTATGCACATTCCACCCAAATCCACCCCAAGGTGGATACTGGAACAGAAGTCCAAGTCGGCCTAGCTGAGGATGGGTGCGGCAGAAGTTCTTTTCCGAGAGCCTGCTTCCGTTTGGAGCAGCGAAAGAGCTCGCGCCTCGAGCCGGTTGGAGCCGCTCGGAGCTCTTTTGGTTCTGTGGACTCTTCGGCTCTTCTTTGTCGGCCGAGGACTCTTCCAACAGCGGCTTCTCTTCTCTGATGCCGGGCAGTGCGCCAACGATCTGAGTCTGACACTGTTGTGTCTTTCCCTCTCATTGTATGTGTGTATATATATATATATATAACATATATATATATATACACATACATACATGTCTTTGTAGCAGCATCCCTCCGAACAGTCGAACTTCCGAACTCCAGACATTGAACAAGTCTTAACGGTTCAACGCTAGCGCTACAGTGGCCACATTAGCTGCCCGCAGTTCCGTTGCGGCCACCGTGGATTTAAAAAGGCGTGCGAAAGCCACGGGATTTTTCTACACGATGGTTTGGCATGTGAGCTGCTGCTGCTATACTACTACCACCTTATGTACCCTCATTTTAATAATCATACTCCTGCAAATAAGTCTTTAGCCATTGTTCATCCCCTCGAAAAGCCAACATCTATTGGTTCCTAGGTGTGAACACCTCGGCAGAAGCCTCTTTGTGCAGCCACGGAGCATCATGCGTCAGCCCAAGCCGAACAACCGGTGCAACCTCGCCAAGGTACAAGGATGTACGAGGGTTCTGCGTCAAACAAGTTCAGCGTTCGAGGGGCAATGACCAATGAGGGCAATCAATCGCCTTAGCTAGACGTCCAGTAAACGGGCACTTGAAATACTCGGGATTCCCCTCGCAGTGGCAAAGAGCCGATTGCGAATCATGCCCGCTGCTTCATACCAATACTTGGCTCTCCCCATCTGCAACCAGAATGTGTTCCTTGCCTTGACGGTCTTCATGTTGGGAATCGCTGTTTGAAGCTCGTTGCTTCGTTAAAGGCTGTCAGGTCCGAGGCGCTTCTTCTGAGACTTTTCTTTCGAAGGCGCAGCACTGCAGCACGACTGTCAACATCTGTCAACATTCCCTCACCGGCAGGGTGTCAAAATGCCAACCGATCGGGTTTCTGCCGTATTGCAGCGAGACGAATTCGTATGTCAGTCAACCCCACACACACACCATGTTTGTTGCCCGTCGACGGAACTGTTGCTCCGTTTTGGCAATGCTGCCAGTGTTTGTCACGCTGTGTCGGCGTGGCACCCTCGCCAGATCTCGTTTATTAGCCCTTCCGGGTCAAGCGTTGCAAGGGTCTTCAGCGTGAACATTTCTGGTTGTGGGGCACCATTTCTTGCATGTGTTGCGCCCGCACCGTTTCGCAACAGCACGAGATGCATTCGGCGACCACCACGCAGTGTGCGCCGCCACCTCCGGCGTCCAGTCTGCGCGCGCGCGCGCGCCCCCTGCCCTTTGAACGGGCGTGTATGCCGTGAGGCAGATGCGAGGGTTGCTCGCCACTCCGCCCTGCCGACATGAACCTCGACGTGCTCGCCGATGAGCAGCGCATGGAGGTTGCCGGTCTAGAACGGGCCCCAACTCACAGTCGATGCCACGTTGGTGTTGTTCTCACACCTTCATTTTTGCACCTTCATGGCCTGCATGGCTTGGGTTCCTGCTGTACAGTAGCGGCCTACGGCGTCCCTATGGGCCGCGAAGGGCCGACATTCGGCTCGCGTGGAGCGGCGCCGGCCAAGCTGACCCGAGGAGTGCTTGTGACGGCCTGTTGTACAGATACTGCCAGTATCAGCCAGTATGGCCCACCTCGACGTTGGTTTCGCCGCTCACACGTCAACGCGAGGCACACCACACGCCGACGTTCAGCCGGCCAATGCGGCGCGCCGCAAGCGCCATCAAGTGCCGCAACACGCACCCTGAGCTTGGCCACGCCCGGCGCTGCAGCCTGGTGGTCGTCGGGATTGAGGTCCTTGGCAGGTTTGGCAATGAAACCGTGCAGCTCCTGGGCGTTCTGGCACGCCACCGTGCCGCTGCCGTTCCGGCCTCCGCTCTGTCACTGCCCAGCGCGCGTTTGCGGCCTCTTCCCTGGAGCCCCGCGTCTGAGTCCTGCGCTGCACGGGACACTCGTCCGGGACACGCCTGTGGATAAATTGCGCGGAACAAGATTCGGTCTTGTGCGCGGTTCGTGGAGGTTGGCGTGGGCACACAGGGGTGGTGGCCTTCACGAGTCGATGTGGGGGTTGCCCACACGCATTTGGATGCACACATACGGCGGGCTGAGTGCCATGAAGGGGCAGCGACAACAGCGAGGCTGCCAATGTAAGAAATCCGGCTTCGGCCGGTGGCAAGCACGGTGGGGATCCTGTCTCGAGCTGGTGGTTGTGTAATTGAACGTCTACACGGGAATGGCTGGCTTTGGTTAGCTGTTTGCTGCGATGCCACTATGTTTCTCGAGCTGGTGCTTGCAAAATCGAGCGTCTACATGGGTATTGGCTGGTTTTGATCGGCTGCCACGGATGTGTTTCTGGAGCGGGTGCTTGCGAAATCGAGCGTCTACATGGGGAGAGGCTGGTTTTGATTTGCTGCCGCTGATGTGTTTCTTGAGCGTGTGCTTGGGAAATCGAGCGTCTACATGGGGTTGAAGTTTAACTGTTGATGGGCTGACATCACCCCGCCTGGGGTGGCTTCACTCCTATGCCGTGTGCCACAGATCTTGGGGCGACTTTACGACTTAAACCTAGTGCTAGTATTGTATACCCAGACACGCTCTTCGGCACCTCCGCATTTTTGTGGACGATGAGGAGGATGCCCAGCTGCTGCACGGCCGCCAATCCGGCTTGCCCGTGCAAAACTAGCCTCTTCACCCTGGGACAGTGCTGCACACATGCACGGATGATAGCAGATTCCTGCTCCACACGAAGGCCACCTTGCAGAGAACCGTGCAGCACCTGAAGGATCAGAAGGCAGTCCTGCCCAAGAACCAGTTCGAGGCTTTGGAAACGGAATTTGGTGTCAACTACTGTCCTGAAGGAGTTCTGTGTGATCCAGTGTGCATGGGGGCCTTGGACCCAACCAAAGCCCTCATGTTCGACTGGATGCACATCTACTTGGTTGGCGGCATCTTCCACCTGGAGATCAACCTCTTGCTCGAGAAGCTCGCCGCTGCCCATGTGAGGCAGCAGGAGCTGCACAAGGTTTTCCAGAGCGTGACATGGCCGGCCTACCTCAAGGACAAGGGGGCAGCTTGCAAGGATTTCTTCGCCAAGGGAAAATCGGGTGACAACTCAAATACTCCGCATCCGAGGCACTCACAGCATACCCAGTCATCCGCGTGCTCCTGCAAGACCTTCGGGGGTCTCGAGACTTGGGGCTGGACTTCGGCAGGCCATCAAGTCCTTCGTGGGCCTTTGAGCTGCACTTCAACACTTATAAGGCAGCCTATCCTCAGGAATCGTTACTGCCGAAGCACCACTTAGCCCTTCATTTGAGCATGCAGCTGCAGCGGAACGGGTGTCTTCTCTCAGGCTTCGTGCAAGAGAGAAGGCACAAAGAACTTAAACGTTATGCCAATCAGCAGACTGCGGCCAAAAGGGGCAGTGAACAGCACCTGCTGAAGGAGGTCTTCCTTTCGCAGCTGGAGGCCTTGGAAAGGCTGCACCTGGCAGCCTGGTGCCGCCCGCTGCCTTGGAGGGACTCAAGCCGGCAACGGCGGTCTTGCAGAACATGTTCTGCCGTCGTCACCTTGGCCACAGGCTTCATGGCGAAGGTGCTCTACCACTGCCGGTTTGGGGAGAACTGTTTCACATGTGCCAGCTTTTCGCAGAAGGGCGGGAGGCCCAATTTTTTCCCGGCCCACGGGCGAGAGCTCCTTCGTAGTGAGCAGCGACATCCTGGGGCCGCTCGTCTATCTGGAAGAAGACGGCGGCCTAAGGGTGGTACCGCAAGCCTTCGGTGTATAAAAGCATTGTGTTAAGAAGCTTTGTCTTGTAATGTAAGGTTATAGTCTAGGTTTCCTATATATATATATATATTGTTGCATTGTAGCCCTAAACCTGAAAATAAGATCGTAACTTCCGTAGTTCTTTTGGTAAATTCCTTAACCCTAAACCTCAAAAAAGCTTAGAACTTCCATAGGCTTTTTGGTAAATTCCCTAAACCCTAAACCTTAAAAAAGCTTATAACTTCCATAGGCCTGTTGGCAAATTCCTTAAACCCTAAACCTCAAAGAGGATTCTAACTTCCATAGGCTTTTTGGCCAGTTCCCTAAACCCTAAACCTTACAAAAGCTTATAGCTTCCATAGGTTTTTTTTGCAAATTCCCTATGATACCCTAAAATACATTGTATATAAACCCATAAACCCTAGAAAAGATTGTAACTTTCATAGGTTTTTTGGCCAAATCCCTAAACCCTAAGCCTTAAAAAAGATTGTAGCTTCCATAGGTCTTTTAGCAAATTCCCGAAACCCTATATATATATATATAGATCATACATACAATGCACGATCCCTCGACAGATCCCTGTATATAAACACATGTATGTAGAAAAAGCGCGACATCTCCACAAGTTCTCGTTAAGCAATGGTATCAATATATGTTAGTATATATCACACTAGCAAACAAAATATATTTATAGTCAGTCATAATCTGGCAATACATTCAAAATAGCTTTCCAAACCATCCCTGGCACAGGCTGCCCCGGCCAGCCCGGCAGCGCAGGCTCAGTCGGCACAGTTTTTTTTTGGTGGTTTTCTTTAGGAAGGGTGGTGGTGGTGTGGGTTTCTACTCTACAAACCAGTCGTTTTTAACCTGGCATAACCCACTTACTGTACTTAGCTAAGTCCCTCCAAACACTTAGCCCACTTAGCTCCAAGTGGCTTATATGAGTTAGTCTAAGCCATCTAACTGACTTAGCTAGGTGGCCAGACTAAGTGACTTAGGGGCCTTGTCCTAACTCATCTAATTGATGTAAGTGGTATGGTATCTGACATAATCGCATACTAAGTGGCATGAACAAACACTTGCTAACCCCGGCGACCCTCCAAGTAAGCACCATCCGTTGCTGCAAGGCGTGCCTACAGCGCCCGTCTGCCCCACACACGGCGGCCCCCGCAGGCTTGCACTGGCAGGGTCGGCCTTGAGCCAAACTGGGAGGGGAGTGAGTGCATGTGCCGCTTCTTGTTGTGCATGTTGTTGTGCTTGCAAAGCCTTTA